GCTCCCTGCCCGCTTCCCAGCGCTTCCATAAGCCGCCTTGCCCGTCAGCACGTGCTTTGGGAGTCGTAGGATGTGAGCGTCCCTCTTGGTAAACCCCAGCGCAAGGGAAAGTCCCTGTTTCCCTGTTTAGGGAATGATGTGAAACCCCTTCAAGATAGGGCTGTGCTCTTCGTACACGAAGCTGTTCCTCCTTAATTGCCAGGGTGTACTTAAATTGCAGTAATGCCTTCCCGGCCGTAGTTAGGTGGTGTGCAGCATGTGCTTATATAGCATACGGATCCTCTTGATGTTTTAGAAGTCTGAGTAGTTTACTCTCGCTTCCTGGTAGTTTAGCAAAAAAAAACAAACAAACAAACAAACAAACAAAAAAAAACCTAAAATAAGTATGAATGTAGCTCTCTTTTTCACTGTGCAGTTTCTGTGTGTGTTTTTTTTTTTTTTTTAAGTATGAATGTTCATTATGAAGACTTGTTGTGAAGACTTGTTGTTTTTTATACCTTTTTTTCTTTCTTTTAAAGAATGTAGTATCCTAATCTTTGGCTCCTTGTTTGAAAGCCCGATAAAAATGAAAGCCCGGCTTTTGTAGAAGATGTATTATGATCATTACGAGAATCAAATTTTATCTTTTCAGAGTTGAGCATATGAGAGAAGGTGCCTAATAAGTGTTTGGTTTGTTGTAAGGATTGATGATGATGAATGTTACAGTGTTTGCTGTGTTCTGTTTTCACTGTTTTGATGTATATTGAAGCTTGAAGGTCTAAGCTGTGATGTCTTGACTCCCATGTGTGGGGGGGACATGCATGGTAAAGAAATGCACAAGAGAATCTTAATTTGGAAATAAATCCCGTGTGGAAGGAGCTAGATGAGATTTTGGTGACTGAATCTGTTTCTGCTGGTGGTGTTGACAATATTGCCTCCAAACAAACTGTAGTCCTTTTTGGCTTAGTTAGTGAGGTTTTGAGAAGTATAAGCACTCCTCCTTTTTGAACTTATTTGACCACTCAGGATGTGCTTGTCTTGGGCTTTTCAAGCTTTTTCTCCACTGTTATGACAGCTGGGAACTTTACTTGAAAATGATGAAGCTTCAAACTGTCTTCTGGTAGATTGGGCTCTTGTTTTTGTGTTGAGGAGGACAGTCGATGCTGCAGAAGAACTGCAAGAAGAAAAGAACGTGAATGACAAGAACTCTGACTTGCTTCTTGATGTGTATAACCATTCAACTGTCTATTTCCAGACAAGTAAAATTACCGAAGTTTAAGGTAAGGGGAAAGGAAACAGGGCCAGTATTGCTAGTTAAAGCAGTAAGGCTCCCTTGCTTGCAGTGGGAGCATATGCTACTGCAAAGAGAGACAGTGCTGCAAGGTGGGTCATATTTTAGGTTTTCTGTGTTCCTCACCTATGGACCTGCCCTGCTGCTTCTTTTTGCTGGAAGACTGAATGCTGAGTCCTACCTGGAATCAGCTAGAGGCGAGGGACAAAGCAGTGGGGCAGGGGACACAGACCTACAGCGTAATTTCAGACCGACAGAGTCGTGTTTCTTGGATGTAGGAGAGGCACCAGTAAGATATTGACATTTCATCTCCTAAATCCTGAGAAGGAATGGGTATTAGAAGCAACAAAGCAGACATTGTATTTGGCTATATGAAAGGTTGTCAACAAGGCTTGCAGTTAGCATGACCTACAGTTTTCTTGCAAACCAGGATTTGTGATGGTTTTATTACCAAGCTTTGAGTGTGGGGTGTGCTAACTGATAGGAGGGAGGAGGAACTACATAAATCCCTGAATTCAGTGAAGAAGAACTAGAAAACTGATAGTGAAACCTTTAAACTCTCTGGCATGTTTTTAAACTTTTCAGGAAATAGGCTTCAAAACTGAAATTTGAACATGATACGAACTTGTGTTTGTTTCATCAATGGGAGGGAAGATAAGAACTCACCTTTCCATGAGCAATTAGTGTATGCACTCTGCGCTGTGTCCTCCTCCTGTCATTTTTTTTTTTTTAATAGTCTTTGGAGAGTTTTGTAGTGTTCCCAACTCTTCTAGGCTATACATTTATTCTCCAAGTCTGGAAGGAGTGGGTAATGCTGTGTGTTGTGCTTGTTTTTTTTTAATGGCTGTCATGGGTGCTGTGAGGGAAGTACCATGTTTACTAGCCAAATTGGGTGAGATGGTTAGATACTTACGCCTTCTATCTACAGGATCAATGACTTGGAGGGACCTATACATGTCATGATATATATAGCATAAGGTACTCCTTTAGAGGTAGCATGACTTTCTTAAATCTGAACACCTCAAAGCTCTGTGGATGCCTTTGAACCCTGAAGTTCTTGTGCAGGTATAGGAGACCTTTTTTGTGCCTTTGTGCAGACGCTTGGGGCTGTTGCAGAAATGGTGTGTGGGCCTTTGCACGCCTTTAAAGAGGGTCCTTCAGCAAAGGGCAATGGTAATGCCCAAGGGACAGGCCAAGCTGTTGTAGTTGTGTGTGTTGTGTTTATTTTTGTTTTCTGTTTAGAATGATTAAACAAGGAAAGATGGTATTTTTGGCAGTATCACTGCAACCATAACAAAAGACTTACAAGAATTCCTTTTCAGAGTAATTTCTTTTCCTTTTTTTCTATCAGAACGGCCAAGTCAAATTATTATAGTGAAGAATTGTTTTTGCAGTGATTGATTTTGTTTTCTTGCGTTTGAGTTTCTATTTCAGATGTGCTTCTCTCAATCGCTAAAAAGGTACTTGCTTATGAACTGCAGTCAGTTAGAAGTGTTAAAGTGACTGAAAGTCGATTTTTGCTACAGGACTTGGCTCTGAATCTTTCTGCCTCCTTTCTGTGGGTTTTGCTTGTGTTTTTCCTGTATATATTCCTGTGTATGTTAACATACTCATGTGCAGGCTACACGCAAGGGAAAGTGGTTAGAGATGCCATTCTGCTTTCTTCTTGCTCATCTGTGTATCCTACTCACTGGCCCCAAATAAGAGGTTTCTTAACAAGCATAGAAGGTATTGATCAAGGTCTTTTCTTTAAACTGTAGTAATTTAACTTTCATTTAAATATAACTTGCTAAGTTTTGTGGAGAGGAAGAAAATTCTTACTGCAGTATCAATGGCCTGTGAAATGGCGCAGTTCTAATGTGAATGGGCCCGTAGTGGCCATGCAGGTGACAACTGCAGATTTCCTGTGGCAGGTAATAGGATGAAGATGCAATTTTGCTTAGGCTGAGAAAGCTGAATGTAAATGCACAACATAATGTGATCTTTCTTAAAGTTGTCTCTGTTTGTGTGAATGTCATAAAGCTGTATAAAGGTTGCAAGACGCCTGGATGCCACCACATTCTGATACTTGTTTTTCTTCTAAAAGCTTCTCTGTTAGTATTTTGGTATGATGGATCTCAGCTCTTTTTGAAAATACCAATATGCTGGTTCTCCTGCAAAATCAACTATGCATCTGTCTGTGTTTCATGGAGTAGGTGTCCATTTTTTTATGTAACGCGTTACAGTAATGAATGGAGTTTTGTTTTCTAGTCGTGCTTTATTCTTCTTTGCCAACTTTGTTTTCTTTATGCCTGTCTCTTTAGCACACTGCCATTTTATTTTGTGCAGTCTGTATGTGGTGACATAGAATATTAAACTGTTCTCTTTCCACGTCCAAGGGATCTAGAAAACCCATGTGATACAACTGATTTTGTCCCAGAATTGTAGTTTAGTTGTTTCCTTGCTTGCAGGAATGGTTCTCTTGGGGAAATTACTGAAATTGCTCTTAATTGCTACTTAATGATTATGGGCAACCTTTCTAGAGCAAACAAGTACAGAATGAGTTTCTCCCCAGGGTTTATAGCTTTCTTCTGCATTGCTCCTTTAGGCTTTCTAACAGTTATATCTTTGGGACTTGCATCCTGCAGCCAAAATAAAAGGGCTCCAGAACAGGTTCTGACTGATTCTGTTTTATACCTTCTGCCATGAGGATCCATGTGGGAGAGAAATGCAGGGAGACTGTCACTCTGATTGCTATGTGCTCTCAAACCATCCTTCTGTACATGTTCCCCTCCTATTTCTAGTGATGCTTTAGCAGGTAGCTGTTCTTTTGGTTGCTCATAGTGTATATAACTACCGTGTAAAATACTGTAATACTTCCAGTAAATACCTGTTTTACATCAGCAGCGATGGTTCTAAAATGTTTGTCTCAATGTGTCTTTTTGGTCTTGCATGTCTATAAAATGAGGCTACTAGAGCATACACACACCTTCTGATTAAGAAGCTGAATCTGAAGTCTCAGGTATTTCTTTTTGGCTCCAGTTTTAATTGTATAGGGTTTTAACCAAGATAATATGTTAATATTTCTAGTCATTTTTTGTATTCTGTTTAGTTGTTTACAGATAGTTATAATAGGTATCTTTCTCCCCTTCCATTTCACAAAATATCCTTAAATGCTTCCTTTATTGCAGTCATACCGGGGTGTATCATATGCTATTCAGTCTCTCAAAGAACCGTAGTGTTGATGCTGTCACTTGGACACTGGAATTCTTTTGTGATCTGCCAGCTGTGCTTTTCCAGAATGCTTTTGAAGGAGTGTGAAGTACTTCAAGCAATGTATTTGGCGGTGAAATTCCTGAGGCTGACATATCTTGCATCTCCTACATCAGTTTAGTATTTAGCAGTCTTATTGTTCAGTGTTACTTGGCCTCATAAAATGCTTTCCAGAATGGGATAAATGTGAAAATAATTTGAAGCTACAGAGTGCTTATTTCTTTGGTGTCCAAGTTGCCTCTGAAGTATTACGGATAATCTGCTCTTTGACAACATTTGTTTTATTCAGTTTATGGCCCTTCATTAGCACTTCCCTAATGCTTCACAAGCAGCCTTAATGCCTTAGCATTAGGCAGCTGAGGAGGCCTTTTGGTACTGAACAAATTCTGAAGTTCTCTTTCAAGAAGCAAATCTGCTGAAAGGAAGACTTGAAAGTGTAATTTTGAAGGCTTCCTCAAAATGGGCTTTAAGTGAGATAACTTTCATTTTAGCAAACCTTATTCTTCTGGTGAGCAAGTGGAGTGTTTTTTTGTTTTTTTTTTTTTTTTTGTTTTTTTTTTTTCTTACACCGCTTTGGAGGAAGGCTATTGCGTGTTTTCCTTTTTCCTCTGTTTCTAAAAAGTTTAGTCTTTCCACTGGTTCTGTTGAAGGTGCTCTCTATTGCATCGTTCCTCAGTTAAGCAAGAGACTCAGCTAATGGTCATGTCTCTTATTTTCTAAGATGTTGCTGGTAGCATAAATGTGTATGTTTGAGGGCAAACCAAGCAGAAATGCAGTTAATTTTCTTCTGTGAATGTTACCTTTAAGGGTGCAAGTCATCTAGTTGGGGAAGGGGAAGAACTTGAAAGAAAGAAATTGGAAACAAACAAAAAATAAACTAGGCTTCTTAATGACTTCTTTCTTTAGTACTCACATTTAATTATGCCTTAATTTACACTTGTGCTTCTCTGCTAGTTTACAGGCAGCTCTTTCCTTTAACTTTGGAAACTCTTATTGGCCCTTAAACTCCTCTGCTTTCCAGCTACTTCTGTTCATTGTAGCAAACTGCATGGTCTTCGTGGCAGTACATGCACTTCTTGCCAACTGTGGGTGCTCTCTTTAGTTGCTACGTCAGTCAGATTATCTTTTATATGCATATGTATATGTGTACACAGAGCTTTCTTTTCTCATGTAACACGTGTGCTTTTACTATTACTGTTGATTTTTTTTTGTCTTTATTCAGATGGCTGGCAATAAACATATCTTCCCACCACCCCAGAATTGCTCAGCCACAATTATTGAACTTATCTTTTTAGTTGGTGCTTTTACAATTACTGTTGATTTTTTTGTCTTTATCCAGATGGCTGGCAATAAAAAAAAAATATGTCTTCCCACCACCCCAGAATTGCTCAGACACAATTATTGAACTTATCTTTTTAGTTCTTATATCACAAAATTGCTTAATTTAATATGAAGGAGTCTCTCTTTTGAGTACTGTTCTTCTAGTGTTAGGTTTGGCAATTTGTTCTGTCCATACTGCCCTCCCTTTCTATATTTTGCATTCTTTTCGAGGCAGATGTCACAGGGTAACATTTTCCATAAGGTCTCAATAATATTCTGGGCCTCAAAGTTTTCTTCTCCTCCGTATGGAGCTACACTACCAGCTATTCTTCAGGTCCTTTTTTGCTTTTACATGCTTGGCTAGCATGTAAAGTTAACTTGTTTCATCATGCAGCACAATTGCCTCTAACTTCTGGAATGAAGGGTTTACACGTTGCAGCCACAGGCTGCCTGTGCGTGTGGCTTTGTTTTCCCCTGTGCAGTGTTTGTTTCATTGGAAGCTCGCAGCCAAGTTACCTTGGATCTGTATAGGGAACCTGCGAGCTGGGCAGCCAGGCAGTCTGGAGACCGGGGAAGGACTAGGACATGTTGTGAAGAACTGAGAGTGGTGGTGGAAGTGGGCTGGAGATGCTGGGAGAAATGGCTCTGCGAGACGCCGCAGTGAGAGGGAAGTGCGGGAGGATTTCTGCAGTGCTGCACGAGCAGAGATGCTGTGTTGTAACTGTCGCTGTGTGTTGTCATTAAGATGCCACAGAAGACGACTCCTACAAGTCCTTAAAGAGTATTTGATTCTTGGCAACTCGGTTTTCTGCTGTCATTTGTGTGCCTTCTAGTGTCATCTTGACTCTGGGTTCTGTTTTTAGCTTAACATTAGCCCTAACTGGCTTACAAGGAGAGTGGTGTAGTTTAAAGGCTCTGAAGACTCACATAGCTGAGTTCATTTAAATTGGTTACACCTTCTGGGCTGGCAGTTTTAACTTCCATGTGAAGTGGGTTGCAGAACAAGCTATAAATAATAGATATATCAAATATTTCATTCATTTAAAAAAGCAACCCAAACTAACACTTTCCTAGAAATTGGATATTTCATATAGATGGAGGATTTTTTTATTCTTTCTTAGAAAGCCACAGAGTATGTGATTCAGTAGTAATTATGTGTTTGGATGCTGGCTCCCTTGTGCTGAAAGGTGTGGGTGCCTGGGGGACTTTCAGGCTCCTGTGGTTTGTTTCACTGGGCACTTCTGGCCTATTTGTGTCCTCCCCAAAGGAAGTGGCTTGGTCTGCGAATTGGTCTTGTGCTGCCCTGGGTTGCACGAGCATTAGTGGGAAAATTGTAATGTCAAAATCCTTTCCTCATTTTGTGCTTAATGATATTTAATTAGCACATGATAATTGCAATGAAAATAAAGTATCCAATATGTTTTTCTTTATAAGCTTTTTTTCCTGTCCACTCACTTTTACCTGTGCTTGAATTCTCTTATTTATCTTTTTTCTTCAAAATAACTTTGTCTTTGTCTTAGCAAACTGAAGAAGCTGAGTGAAGATAGCTTAACTAAGCAGCCTGAAGAAGTCTTTGATGTTCTGGAGAAGCTTGGGGAAGGGTAAGTGCAAGTGGTCAAGGGGGTCACGCTGGAGGGGAGCAGGGCCTAAAGCTGTGCTGAAGGCTGCGCTGCACAGGCAGTGGCTGCAGATGCTGCAGGAATGAGCTCGAGCCTTCCTGGGGAACCTTTAGTAAGAAAGCAGATGCCTTTATTGGTAGACTTCCATGTTCCCTCAGAGCTGTTTATGCATTCTTGTCATGTCTCTCAGTTATTATGGCAGCAGAAGTGTGTATGCTTCTACTGAGATTAGATACATACATCTTGATAAATATTCATTATTAAGATGTGTGTTTTCTTTTCTTTCCTTTTTTTTTTTTTTTTCCTGAGGTCCTAATAGAACTGAAATTCTTGCAGCCCAAATCACCCCTCTAAGCATGTGGCTTATGTGACATTTTAGGGATAGTATTTGCTAGAAGTTAAAGGTAAATTCTCATAGAATCACAGACTGGTTGAGGTTAGAAGGGACCTCTAAGGATCATGTAGTCCAACCGCCCCTGTTCAAGCAGGGACCCCCACCACACGTGACACAAGGTCCCATCCAGGCAGGTTTTGAAAGATGTCCAGAGAAGGAGACTCTGCAGCCTCTCTGAGCAGCAAAAATAACATGTTAATCCTGTCTTTTATTTCCAGATCTTATGGTAGTGTGTTTAAAGCAATACACAAGGAGTCTGGACAAGTTGTAGCAATTAAGCAGGTCCCTGTGGAGTCGGATCTTCAAGAAATAATTAAGGAAATATCTATAATGCAACAGTGCGACAGGTAGGCATGACAATTCTGCCCCCTTTTTGAGAATCTGTGTGAAAATTTGCAGTTGTAGTGTGTTGTGAATGTACCTGAAATTGAGGAAAGTGTTTGCAGCTGCATATATGGAAAACTAATGCAATTTGCACTGAATGATCTGCTTAAAACACCCTTAAATTCTATCCCTCGTTTGGACTTCTTGAAGGACATGTAAATGAGGTACTTCTCAGAAATTGTTGGAAGAATAAATAGTTGTACATGCTTGCAGTTCTCTGCACTTGCTTTACTTTGTTTGCACTGCCAAGCACCAAGGCTAATATTTCCTGTACAAGTTCTGGGCCATGTAAACTCGGAGTTACCCATTTCTTTGGAAGATTGATAAAGATAGTTATAGCACAAGGCTAATGGCTATTGACATGGCATTGTTTTAGAAGTTAACACCTATTCATTTTTCATGGAAGAACATACCTGTTAAACAGTGATCAATCTTATGCAGAACTGTTGTAAGAACTGTTATCTTACACTTCATAAACAATATATCTTGTGGTATCTAGTATTGTAGAATTGTAGCATCCAATATCTGTAAGGATACTAAAATAAAACTATTTTTCTCTCTTCTGTAGAGGTTTTTTCTCGCTGTGTACTTCTTGGTATCACTTTTTAAAGTTTTGGTTATAATTTCCCCAGCAAATTTGTCAGGGTGAGTTTTTATTCATATTTAACCGGAAATGCAGAAATCTTTTTGCAATTCAAGGAAAACGTCACACACCAGCTAGAAACTTCCTTCAAAATGTGGATTATTTAATCATTAACTTTCTAGAGCATGTGGTCTGTCATTAAATGAAAAAATTGCCGTTGATTGAAAGTGAGTGATACTCATCCGGATTTGAAGGTAGTTTTTTAGTGCACGCTGTATTTATTCAGGTGTTGCTGGATGTTTTGGATGAGATGCAGCCATTCTCTGGTTGAAAATGAGGGCTGCAGTGCAGCTTTGCAGCGTGGGCTCCCTTCTGTGGTGGCTTCCCCAGTGCAAATGCAATATTGTGCAATGCTGGTGGAAGGGAGGGACCTACCCTTTTAACACTTCCTTTTGATGTGTGATGATTCCACAGACGTTGCATTAAAAAACCCTGGGTTTATGGGGCGTCTCAGATAAAATATGCTTCAATCTCAACATTCTCCCCTCTTTCCTGCCAGGTTTCAGAGCTAACTACAGTGTTTGCACCGAAGCCCAACTGGGGCAAAAAAAGTAGATCTAAGGCAAGCTGTTGCTATGGAAAAGATGATTCATATAGTTACCTGGGATGAAGCTATAAGCAAATGTGGTGTTATGGTTGCCTTGTTTTGAATTGTAGTAATGCACAGGTCTTGCTAGAAATAGTAACACCCTGTAAATCTGGTAGGAGATGGTCACAGAAACCAGTGGGATTAAGAATTTTTCTGTAAAGATTTTAGTCTACAGAGATGATAGTAAACTTGCTCACCTTAGGAATTCATGGGGGCAAGATCTGTGTGTAGTTAGGGTTTGGTTCTAGGTTTGTTAGGCAGGTGGGAAGTGGCTGCTCTTACAGTGCTGCTGGTAACTCTGCAGTGCTAACTCAGATAGCAGTGTGGCGCAGGTGGAAACCATCGAGCCTCTCTTGTTCTTTTAGCAGTTTCGTAACAAAAAGTCCTGCTGCCCAACCTCCCCCTGCAGAGAGTCCCTTTCTGCAAAGCCAAGCTGTGTTCAGTTGCACCGTGCAGTGGAGGTGTCCTCACCTGAGGCTGGTGTTGGAGATCGCGGGGTCTCATTTGTGCTCTGAGGCACTGATGCCGTGCTGACTAACCTCCTTTGCTTAAATTTTTGGAAGAAACTCCAGCCTTGTATTTCCATAAACACACCATTAATCACTATTCTGAAGAAAGATCCTTGTTGCATCTTTGCTACATCTGTTTATGCTTTTTTGTTGTGAGTGTCTTGGAGGAAGTGTTATGTCAAGTGACATGTTGATGAATAGCAAAGCAACATGTTCTGTTTATGATAGTGCTATAAATACATCTTCACATGAGACACTTCCGTAGGGAAATGGATTTTCAGATGCAGAAATCTTGTTCTAACCAGCACAAAAATCTGTTTTCAGATAGTAGCCTACGTATGCACTTGAAAGAATTTCATACATGTGAAAAAGTAGGAGTTGGGGGAGGTACAAAAAGTAGGAGTTGTGAGAGAGGAAATGGGAGATTTTTCAAGGTGCTGAGGGAAGAAGGGTAAAAAAACAGTAGCTTTTTCAAGGAGAGTTAAAACTGGGGCGGTCTTAAGAGGAAAAACAAGCTTGTTAAGAGAGAAAGAGGCTGCCTGCCTTTAATCAGAAGATTGATGCTTGGGCAAAACTTTAGTTAAATATCACTGATTTTACGGTGTGTATAGTAGTGCTGCAGTCATTTTATTAAGCAATCAAGCTTTATTGTTCTAACTAACGTTGATTAAAATAATTACAGTTTTAAAATGCATCTGATTACGCTCGCTGTCTGGCCGTGTTCTTGTCTGTCAAACTGTAATTTTTAACAGAACTGCTGATGTCTTCACTCTGAAAACCATGTATTTTTATTTTTATTTTTTTTCATCTAGTCCCTATGTTGTCAAGTATTATGGCAGCTATTTTAAGAACACAGATCTATGGATTGTTATGGAATATTGTGGGGCTGGCTCTGTTTCAGACATAATTAGACTTCGTAATAAAACGGTGAGTTGTATTTTTTTTCTTATAGCATTTATTAAAAAATAAACTGTTATTTAAGACTATAAGTGAGAGTAAGAGAGTAACCAGATGAGATTTTTGGTTGTTGCCATGGGAAGTATTTTCACCTCGTTTTCTCAGGAAACAAGTCTTCTGTGTTTGCTCTGGCTGTTTCTTCCATTCCTCTTGAAATATGAAGATCCTGCAAGTTCTGTGAAAATTGCTGCCCTGTAGAAGGAAGGGCTCTTGTGTGGCTTCTTTCCCCTGCCCTTTCCACCCCGCGGTCCGTGCGTAGGTTGTGCAGAACACGCATGGCTTGAAAACAGCCACGGACTTGTCTTTCTCCCACTCGGTAATTAGGGAGCCTAAGTTAGTGGCGCTGCTTGGAGTGAGCAGGGGAGGGATCTGTCGCTTGGGGAGTGTGGGGGAAAGTCCAAAGGGGAGCTGCAGGGAGTCACCGTGAGGTTGTGACACAAGGGATGGAGAGGAGGATGGAGGCATGCAGGACACGGGCTTTATTAGCTCTACTTACAAGCAACTTCATGTGAAAAAGATTTTGTTATAAATGCTGAATATTCTTTAAATGCCTCGATGATATTTTCCCTCCAGTAGTGGGCAATAACATAAGGAATTTGTTTTACTGTTAAGTGGTATAAGATGACCCTGCACTTACTAGATTAATGATTATTGTTGTTTGTAAAGACACTTTAAATCTGATCTGAAATGTTCTTTGTGGGAGCAGAGAGAGAGGGAACAGTGTTGTTGAGGCTTAGGAGGAAAGAGGATGTAAGGGAAGATGGAGTTGGATTTATTAGGAAGTGGGATCATGTCCAGAACGGAGGAAATGTGTTTGGGAAGGACAACGCTCGTTCTGCATTAAAATGCATCCTGGCTGCTGTGTTGTTGAACTGAAAACTGTGGAAGAGCCAAAAACTATAGGGTGCTACACTACTGCTGGAGTGTTTACATCTAGTAAAGATGTTTTAGTTGTGTGTTATCCAAGGGGTAAAGTGATAATCAGTAGCTCCAACAGCAAGTGATGCAAACTAGTGATATTCTATGTAAACCAAAATATAGAGAAATAATCAAAAATAAAAGCTACAATTCTTTATTAAGAAGTGTGTGTGTGCATGTATATGTATGTGTTTATATAGACAGTTTGAAAACATTAGGCAATTCATTTTCCTAGATACTTTAGAATATTGATGTATTAAGGATGCCACAGATTTAATGGAAAGATGAAATTTAAACAGTCTTTGAGCAAATGTATACTAACGATCAGAGAAACTAACTTTTTTCCTCCTATTCCTGGTTTGTAATAGTGAAAACTGATAGCAGAAACTTTACTCTGAAAATATAGTTGTCAGATGGATAAATGTAATAAGGGAAAAGTCAACGTACTTCTCTTGGTAAAGGGAAGTCATGGCATACATGCCTTGTAGAGTGGGTGTTTATTTAAGAGTTGTTGGCTAAGTGGGTGGCTGGTTGGTGTAGATATATTGTAGTACTGAAATTTTTTTGGTCAGGCTTTTGCACCAAAGAAGAGAGATTTCTTGAAGTATGGCTGCAACGGAGTAAATGGAAAATCCTTTCATAGATTAAGTGGTTTGTAGCTAGAGAAAGAAAGGTTTAGACCTAATTGTCTATTAGGGAACCGCATGTGTATCTGTGCTGTTTCTTCTGGGAAATGGGTTGAAATGCTGATGGAGTGTTAGTAGTAAAATTAAGGAAAAAGTGGTACTGAACCTCTGGCTGAGGAAAGAAGTGTGGTTGAGAAGTGTGAAGGGTTGCGTTTGGTTTGGGCTGAGGGAATAAAACTAGACATCGGTTTCTGAGCACTTTAGCTTAATATTTAGCAATAATTAAATAAATAAAGGAGGTGCTAGACATGCCAAGGATGTAACAGAGAAAGGTGGTGAGGATGATCAAAAGCATAGAACACATTTCTGTAAGGAGGGTGCTAAATAAATTGTGCTTCTGTGTGTGGGGGTGGGGAGAAAGGTGCCCAGAGGGCAAAATGGTGAAGGTTTAGAAGAAAGTGAGTAAGACCTGATGATCTGCTGTTTGTTACAATACAACGAAGCACTTAGGTGCTAGAGTTGAAAGAGTTTTTCTCCACCTACTGTGAAGAGGTTCACAGTATATAATTCAAAAGGATAATATAGCTGTTAAGGGTTTGATTTCAAAAGGCATTTGGACAAGACCACATTTAAAATAGTTAGGGCTGATAAACAAAAATATTGAATAACTTACTCAGGAGATGTACCTAATTCAGGTTGCTGGGCAGGTAAAGCAGACAAGTATTGCTTTACTTACCGCGTTCTTATACTCTTCTCTAGGTACCTACTGTAGGCCACTGATGAAGGCAGGCTCCTGGGCTAGGTAGACATTTTATTCTGACATATGACAGGTAATGTTCTGGTGGACAAGATAAAAAGCAAAGCCAACTCCTCTGCTTCTCTCTTGCAGGATTTGGAGGATTTGGGCAGTTTTTTTTCTCTACCACCAAAACTGTTCCACTCCTTATTTTGACATCTCCCTGCCTCATATGAAATATTAAGAGAAATTCTGAAAGATGAATATTTCATAGTTCCTCATGACTGCCATTCAGCTGCCTTCTGTTGCCTCCTCTGTAAATATGGAAGCTATTTTATGTTTGCATAAGATGGTTTGGACAGACAATTGCTTTTGTATTTATGCATTATATTTAAACACAAAAATTTAGCTTCAGTTTGCAAGTGTCTTTGTGTGGTGAGTTTGTGGAAAATTTTCTCAGGTCACAACAACAGATAAATTGTAGTGATTCAAAGTTTTGCTTGAAAAGTGTGTGTAGTGGACTGGTTGTATTGGTCACTGTGTAGAGCCATCAATATCCCCTTGCTCATGTAAAGGGATAATAAGATAATAATAACTCGCTATACAAGTATGTGTGAAAGTGTTTTCTTTTTTATTATTTTATTATTTTTATTGTTGTATATACTAAACCTAGAAATGAAGAAAACTGCTATTTTGTTTGTAGCAAGTGGAAACAATTGCATTATCTCCAATTTGCTTCAATTGCCTTATTTTTTACAAATGTGGCCTGCTTAAAATTAGTCTTCCCTTTTCAATCCTAATCGCTGTTCATGACAAATCATTTCAGGCTGGCTTAAAGAGCTCTAAGTGGTTTAATTAAACTATATACAATATAATTACACTTCCATTTAAAAACAATTTTAACTGTTTATATTATAAGTCTACATGGAAAAAGTAAGCTTACCTTAGTTAGCTAAAGCTGGTGCACGTCCCTTGAGTGGCTGCCATAATTTCAAAGACTGAAAGTACCATAGTTGTTGTATAAGGACTGAGGAACAAGAGAAGTTACATTCTTGTGTTTTTTTAATTATTAATTATTTATTTTTTGAAACGTTACTCTGTATGGTGGAAAATGCCTGGCAATGTTACTGGAATGAGGCTGTTCAGAGAATTCGGTGGTTCACCTTTTAAATAAAGCTTCTTTGTGGAAACAATAAATGGCTCCACTATGGAGGGTTGGTCCTTATTTTGTCAGAACTTATATTCAGTAGCTCCAAGCTCTCATGCCACCATTCTTGTGTTTTTTTAATTATTTATTATTTATTTTTTGAAACAGTGACTTGATTACTCTGTATGGTGGAAAATGTCTGGCAATGTTACTGGAATGAGGCTGTTCAGAGAATTCGGTGGTTCACCTTTTAAATAAAGCTTCTTTGTGGAAACAATAAATGGCTCCACTATGGAGGGTTGGTCCTTATTTTGTCAGAACTTATATTCAGTAGCTCCAAGCTCTCATGCCAATTTTCCCAAGTTGTCATAATGTGAATGAAGACTATGGATGGGCCAGGAACAAGCAGTGGTTCCTTCTTTTTTATGTGAAAGAAAAGAAAAGAAAAAAAAAAAAACCTCAGGCATTGCAGAATCTGAGTGGTTGAGGGTGGAAGGGACCCCCTGGAGCTCATCTAGTCCAGCCCCCAAGCTCAAGCAGAGCACTTGTCCAGGTGGATTTTAAGTTTCTTTAAGGAGACTCCACAATCTCTCTGTTCCAGTGCTCTGTCACTCTTGCAGCAAAGACCTTTTTCCTCCGGTTCAGAATAAATTTCCTGTGTTTCAGTTTGTGTCTGCTGCCTCTAGTCCTCTTTCTGGCTACCACTGAAGCGAGCCTGGCCCTGTCCTCTCTATGCCCTTCCCTCAGATATTTATACACACTGACAAGATCCCCCCTCGCTCTTCCCTTCCCCAGGCCCAGCTCTTGCAGACTTTCCTCATGTACCTCCGTCGTGTGGGGAGCCCAGAACCCAGGCTCACGTGTGCCAGATGCTGCCTCAGCAGGGCTGAGCAGAGGGGGGAACCACCTCCCGCAGCCTCCTGGCTTGCTGCAAGGGAGCAAAAAAGGGGGAAGCAAAACCCAGAGTTAAGGCAATCTCTGATGTTTGTTGGCTTATTCATGTCAAAAAGTTCCCAGACGAGCAGCTTCTTGCTGAACAGGCTAAAGCCCTGACTTTGGAAGTGAGATCAGCCCCTCCATTTCTGCTGCAGTGTTTTACAGCAGGCCAGGCAGATCCAGCAGCGCTTGGATCCAGCAGTGCTTTGTAGCTCTCTGCTACCTGTCTGAGGTGTGGTGCTCATCTGGCCAGAGCACCAAAGCTGAATATCTAGTTTTGCTTGTTTTTCTCAATACCCACTTTGGGATACCTGTGCTTATATCTTGCACAGTCAAACTGTGGATAGCTGCCAAAAAGAGCAGTTAATGTGGCTCGTGTTCCTACCTTCTCAGAACAAGTGATTATGTGGCTCCAGGGAGAGCTTGGATAAGCTTGCTGATGTGCCTTTCACTTTATTTATTGAAACTAATTCCCCTTAAAGGTGTTTTTTTTTTTTTTTTCTCCTCCTCCTCCTCCTCCTCAGTGAGGTAAATCATGTTGCAGTAAGCAGATCTGATGCAAGAGAAGCATTAGGAATGAATAGTGGAGAGGAGGGGGAGAAAAAAG